GAGACTTTTACATAATGAGTGTTAAAAGTTTTGGCTGAAATTTTATTAAAATTTCATTACTTCGAAAATAAATAATATATCTAAATTTAAATACTTTCGAAAATAAATTTGACTTCTGCACAACAACTTCTAAATACATAAGTTATAAAAACGAAGTATACATTGTACAGTACTATAAGAAATTCTTTTTTAATATATTTTTAAATTTTATTATTCAAACCCAGTTTATTTTCCGACAGCCTCTAGTTGCCGTCGGAGAACGAACTGAAACTTATATAAAAGGTAGTTTTATAGGGTTTATGAATTTGGCAAAATTAAGGCTTAATTTGGGTAGAATTCAATAATTGAGTCATGACTTAATAGATATGAAAATTACATGAATTAATTCTACCCACAATACATTTACTAGATTACCAACGATGTAATATAGTAAATTATGCAATAGAATCGAGGTCAATTATGCAATGGATGCGAATTATACAATTATATACAAATTATGCGGCTCTCGGAATCTTTATATAAAATTGTGATATTCATATATAGGAGATTTGCTAGTCAGAGGTCCCTTCAATTAAAAATGAGATTTTTCTATTTTTATAAATCTTATATCTTTATGATACTGATACTAGCAAAAACGAAATAGAGGATCATTTAAAGCCAGGTGTGTTCACGTGATCATTATACTTATTTTTCTGTTTTCTAAATCAATAATTTTTGTTATAAATTTGCAACTATACATTATGTTCGAGACAAACTTCTTCCGGTATTCTAGGAATTTCTATTATTCTTTATTAACAAATTTGTTTGTAAAGTAAAACAATCTTTAATCAACAATTTCATATATAACATTGGTATCATCTCATAAATAAATATAAGCAAAAAAAAAAAAATTAATTGGTCAAAAAATTAAAATATAAACATATGAAATTAATTTATATGTACCTAATAGATTGCTTGTATCTCGATCTCTTAAATGAGCCTCTATTATTCATTTGATACATTTATTAATTTAAACTAATATTTCAATTCAAAACAAATATATATTACCTGAACTGCTATTGCTTTCAACATGTTCAGAAGTTTCATTATCTGTCCAATTTGAACCCGCTATTCATGCAATAAATATATTATAAATGAAAAAGTTAGTACAAAGTTGTTTAAAAAATGTAAGAGTAAATTTGCATATACTTGATTGATTCAATCTTCTTTTGCTTATGTTTCTTAAACTAGTTTCTAAATCCATAACCTTCTGTCTTAATAAAACAATCTGATTTTTGAGTTCGAATGTAAAATCTCTTGAATTAAGATCTTCTTTATGTTGTTCTTCGAGTTCTCTAATTCTATTTTCAGCAGATTCTTTTTTACGTAACACATTATTAATCTATATAAAATATGCCAATAATAAGAATCTATTATAATACAGTATTTTTTTTTCAGAATATTAAAAATTACTCTTTTTGCAATTTCACTTCTTTCAGTACTTAATGCTTTACTAGTTTCTCTTGATATTCTAAGTTCTTCTTCTAATCTTTTGGTCTATATTAGAAAAATCTTATTAATAGTATATTTTATAATAAATAATATTTAAATATTAAAAAAAAATGTCTTGGTCTCTGATCTATCAAATTTATTTTGCAAATCTCTTTTGTCTAAATCCATTTTTGTAACCTCTTTGGCCAGCTCTTCAATTTGTGATCTCATTTTTTTATTTTCAGCCACTTCGTTTAAGTATTGATCATTCAATGTCATAATCTCTTTATTTAATTCATCAATTTCTTTCAAAAGTCGCTGGTTTTCTTTACATAATCTTTTGATTAAAAAAGTTAACAATAAATATATTAAAACATACATATAATATAAAATACTTTTTAATTTCCTTAACACTTTCTTTTCTGTTATCTTGAAAATTACGATAAAATGCAAAAACCGAAGAATTATCCTTATTAGTAAGTTCGAAAATTTTCTTCAAATCTTCAAACAATTCAATTCCATGATTATAGATACATTTGGTTTCATTGGAAGCTTTGTGTTTTTGGTTACTGATATCTTTTATAAAATTATCAATTTGAATGATTACGAAGGACTTGGTTATTCTTCTTTGTCGCTTTTCTTTTCTAGATTTTCTATTCACTGATCATTTGGGGGTTGAGGAGGTACTTGTTATAGTATCTTCGCTATCATCATCTTCATTCTTTTTATTTTTTTTTTGTGTCGGTTGTGGGTTGTTTGTTATATTACAATCATCATCATTATCACTCTCATATTTTCTTTTATCTACTTTACTTCGTAAAATTCGCGAAGACATTTTTTTTGAGAGTTGGCTACTCAAAATACTTGTGTTGCCTTAAATAAATATTTAATTTGTGCAACCACTTTGAAATAAAATCATCAGCGTGGCTATGATATCTCTTACAGATAACAAACAGATTTGACCTCAAAAGAAATCAAATCACCAGGTTTGGTATCTCTTACAGATATAAGACAAATTTGATTTGTTATCAAATTGCCGAAGTTGGTTATCCCGACACGAAGTTATGAATCAAATTTTCTCTAAGAAATGAATATATAAAGTGAATATCCGGCAGTATAAAAATATAAAGAAATAATATAAAAAAACTTCCTTAGTATATATTTTTAAATTTGTTTGATAGATAAAAAAGTAAGGGCTTAACATCACATTATTTATAGTAATTTAATTGAGTGATTTTGTATGTTTTATTGAATTACCCTATAATTTAAAGTAAAATTTTAAATAAATTAAAATTTTTAGAATATGCTATTATACTAACGCTAATTTTTATAATTTTAACTTAATTTTTATATTAGTTTCAAATTTGGCAAAATACACGATAACAATGATTTTTTTATATGCTTCATCTTTTGCAAATAAGATCTGCAACTTTATTTGGCTTGATTTTTTGTACTGCAGGATATTACAATAGAACAGGTTAATAATGTTAATTTAAATATAACAATAATATATGTCATTAATATAATTTTACATTACATAAAATTTTATACTACATATAGTATAAACTTTAAATAGATTTTTGATATTAAATAAACTAAAATTTTTAGAATATGCTATATATAAAAAATATCAAAAAGGTATAATCATGTAATCTTCTATATAGTAGAGAATTATATATTCATTTATACTGATATTATATAATTTAAAAGAGATAATCTCTTAGTCAATTATCATAACTCATTCGAATTTTCGACTTTTTTTTAGAGCATCATGCAAACAAAATATTCATGCGAGAAAAATAATCAGATATGACTTTATAATAGTGATTCTAAAGCTAGAAAAGTTTATCATGCATAAGATTTCGTCAAAACTTTTGATATTCTATTTGAAGTAAATAACACGCGAAATAGTGAATTAAGAAGTTTATTTACTGGTCTTGGCAGTAAAGAAATAAACCTTCATCAGATATTACGAAGAAACCACATGCCACTAATGGATTCACAAATTTTAGAATATTGATAAAGTAATTATTCTACATACCATATAAAGATTATTTTTGATACTTTGATTTTTTTTAGATTTATAGTTCTTTAAATTGCATTATGTCTTGATTTCTTTATTATAATTAAACTTAATAATGGTATTTTTATTGAATTACCCTCCTTGATTTGTGAATATCTGTCAAAAGTTTTAATGAAATTTTGTCCAGAATTATAATTTAATTTTTCCTGGAGTTATAGTTTTGTCCGGAATTGATTTTGCCAGAAGTTATGCATAATTTAGCCTGAGATTATGCTTGAATTTATAATTTGATTTTGCCTAGGGTTATTAATTTGCTTAAATTTATAATTTGGTTTTGCCCAGAGTTATGTCCAGAATTATATTTAATTTTGCTTGAAATTATATTTTAATTTTGCCTAGAGGTATGTCCAATTTTTTGACCAAAAAT